AAATGACTACAAATGGAGGAAATGGCATTGCTTCATTTTTAAGGGATAATTGAGAGATTCATGGGCTTATTATGTCCTAAAGGATTTCAGTTCAGTTTTGTTTCATTCCCACAGATAGAGATGATGATAACTGTTTGGTGGCCAATGAATGGATTGTTACTGCGGCACAGAGAGAAATATCAACTTCACAAAGCAAATACTTTTTAATAAACCCTAAATCCATAAATAGTGACAACTGCAGTGGTAAAAAGACTAAATACTAATACAGTGTGTGTATTTATTAATTCCATCTTTACAATTAGGAGAAAAATGACACAGATAACCTCAATCAATAAACTTTGTATAGACTTTGTAAAGGTTGGCTTCAGTAGGTTGCAGGTAAATATTATGTCCTTTTTAAGTGCTAATTGATTGTATCTGTATAAACTGAATGACATTAAGTCCCACTCCACTCAAAAATATAGTTGTTCTTCTTGTTCATACAGTCGGACGTTTGATCTTCACTGTGCAGAAAGATGTCTGTGCAGAGTTTAACACTAGAAGGATGTTTTCACATGAATCTGCTGAAAAAAGGAAAGTTTGAAAGGTTGAAGTCAAGTCAGTCCTGGTCCAGTATGAAACTCATACAAGTGTTATGTAGAAACTTGAAGCCTCCAGTACACAAACACTGAGAATGTACTTTACAGTGAAATAGGAGACCTCTTGTGTCTGGAAATGAACAACATTTGCATATTGGAAATTACTTTTTAAAGATTTCAATGTGGAAATTATACAGTTTTTTGCATTATACGGTCTACATGTCTGAAGGAGATCTTGTGACATGTACTTTGATGAGGAAGATTTGAGGTAGCAACTTGGTGATTATGTTGTATATTATATTGATTATAATGACATGGCATATTGATATATTGACTTAAAAAAAATTAAGTCACCTAGTAACAAGAAATATGTAGCAACAATAAAGTAGTCAAAACATGTTTTTTTCACTACAATACTCCATTATAAAGATTACATGTAGACATTGTTTGTATCGTTACAGACTCTGCCCACCAGAACATTAAACAAGTAAAAAAAGCTCAATACACACATTTTCTGTCAATCAATGGCCTTTTCTTAAAGAACATAAAACCTGAAGACTCTTACTACTTTGTCCCTTTTTCTTTTCACTTTCTCTGCCTCCATGAGGTGCAGATTCACAGATTGAGCCTAAAAGAGCAGTTACTGTAATCAACCAACAGATGGCGATGTTGGATTCAGAAAAAGTCAGCTTGATAATCAGCATCCACAATCCAGATATTATTAAATCATAAAATACTATAACCCAGCAGAATGCAATATAGTTAAAACTAAAACTAAACTGCACTAACGAATATCATTATATCTACGGTATTTGTACAAAGAACAAGTGTAAAGTAACTCAATACAGTTTTCTCAGTTATGTTTTAAGGCAATTTACTTGATTATTTCTACTTTGTGAGACATCATACATCATTACATTTCAGTGGGAAATACTGCACATTTTAGTATGATATTAAAAATATGATGCATTCTTGTCTATACTGAGCACTTTGCCTATATTGTACAACTTTTTCTCTTCAGATATGTTTTATTGAAAAAGGACACATCATGAAATCAAAGTTATGTTTCTGGTTTGTTTCCAAATTACAGACAACAAAAAGACAAGAAACATGGAGGACTGTTACCTGTAGTCAACCTGCTCTCCTCCAAGGTGATCATTCAGAATTAATGTTGAGATAATCAGTAAGAAGCTGACAGATCTTGTAAAAGTATGTACTTTAAGTATTCATCAACTCATAACCCACTATTTGACTGTAGGAACCTCATAAGAATACACAGTTTTGAGCTTTAATTAAGCTGTTACCATTATTATATATACATTATTTTTTTACTGTGGGAATCCTACTTTAAGTAAAGGATTTCATTTCCAGTACTGGTACGATGTGCACTGTCTTCATATTTTTTAAGTGCCACTATGAAACCCATTACTGCCAACAGAATTTATCTTCATCACTGCAATGTAATCAGCAATGTATCCGAGGAGTATGTTGCTTACAGGAAAATAATAAAGAAGTTGTCTGACTTCTCCTTGGTCAAATCAAAGTCATTCTTGCGTTGCTGTTTGTCTCCAGGCGCTGGCACATGATCCACAGAGAGGAGAAGGGGAGTGGGCGGAGTAGGAGGAGGGGGTAAGCATATATGCAGATGGGAATTAGTGGTCCCAGTAAACACCTGGAGCCAGAGGGGAAACAAGATGATCTTATTCACATGCAAGTCTTGTGCTGCAGAATACACTGCTGCTATAACGCACTGCTTTTCATCCACTTCACACCAGAAGATAGGTAGGCATCACCTTTATTCCTGCTTTGGCTGTGAATGTGAAGATTTTCCCCAAAATCCCCCATTCAGGCTTACTTTGAACATGAAGATATTATAAAATTTGCTGCAACGGGAGAAAATGCCTCTGAAAAAATGTGAATGTTTCTTCAGCCTGAGATCATTATATGCACTATGGGCTTCACAACAAAAGAGGCCTTTCATTTCAAACTGCAGGGTAGATGCTGATTTCCTAAAAGCTATTGATTGAAAATGGCACAGCTGAGGAGCGGGAGAGGAGCCATGAATGGAGACAGTGGATTCTCACTTCCACTCCTCTCCAGCTGTGAGCTCTATTGCTGCCTGGCCTTGAAGGGGGGGAAGAGGGCCGTTCCTGCATATGGTGTTTTTCATGGGATTTAAGACACAGTGCTGTCACTCTCATGCATGCTTGAGTGTATAGTTTTGAGAGGTTTCATCTCAAAAGGCCGATGAAAACAACCACTGTATACTCTCTGCACACATGCCCCAGTTTGCACTAATTGCCATCACTGGCATTCCTCACCATCTGGTTTCATCTCCTGAACATTAAACCACAGCTTAATAACTGATAAGCAGCCATTATCTGTTTTAAAGGGCCATGCAGCGCAGATGTCAACTCAGTGCATATCAACAGGGTCAATACACTGTACATTAACCTAATTATTACTTATATAACATACAACTGACTGAGCCTGCCTCTGCCACCACACCAGCCCACACCCCACACACACACACACACACACACTGACAGATAACTGAGTGGGAGGCAGCAATGTCATATACCTCAGCATTTAGTTAGCATTGGCATCCAACATGACAGATTCCCCGTCTGGGTCGCTTAGCACTGAT